TGTTTGCTTGACAGCACAGGATCAGTGATATCCACATCAAACTCTGTCATCATTGTCTCTATTGTAAAAATCCAAAAGCTGCATCCCTTTGATCTTCTGCTGTTTGTTATTTACTTGAAAAGAAGTTTTAGTGCCACCTTGTGGTCATTCAGCAGTTGATAAGATTGAATAAAATCCCATACCTCAGTTATTCTTGTTAAAACTGATATATTAACATGAATACAAAATAACAATATTTACTCTATTTTTTTTATTGATTTGTTTGTTTGTTAATTATAATTATTTGTGTAGTAGATAAGTATGATGAAAGGTGTGACTAAATGGGCCAATAAAACACATGTAAATCCAAAGTAATTATTCCTTCAAAATCTGAATAAAGACTTTAAAGTTTATTTTAATAAGTGCAACAACTGACAGCGTTCACTCTTCTACTAAACTTAGTTCTTTTTGGATATTAGGATTAGAAAAAAAAAAAAAATCCTATTACCTCCCACACAGCCTGCTATTGGCATCATCCCCCTATCACACTTGAATTTGTTCTATGGCACTTATCTAGATTGTTTTCTCCTGACTCGATCCTTGCTTGTGTTGTATCTGCTCTCAGATGTACATCGCTTTGGATAAAAGTGTCTGCTAAATGAAATTGTAGTATTGTAGACATTTAAAAATGATTTTAGGGTGGCCCTGTAGCTCACCTAGCTGAGCGGGTGACCCATGAACACGGGCTACAGTCCCAGAGGCAGCGGTCGTGGATTTGACTCCCGCTCATGACCCTTTGCTGCAGGTCTCTTCCCATTCTTCTCCCCCCTTTCCTGTCTATCTGTACTGCTCTAAAAGAAAGGCAAAAGCCCCCAAAAAATATATTTAAAAAATGATTTTAGTAGTCTGGGTGATCTTATGGCTGCTATCATAAAACCATGACTGTTGCTTTTGGATGTTTCCTGAAAGAAAGAAAATGTGTGCGTATCGTTTACAGTGGTGGAAGGTAACTGAGTACTTTACTCAAGTAGTTACAGTACAGCTTTGAGGTACTTAACAACGATAGTATCAACCCCTGGTTACTTGTCAGATTCAGATTTTTATCACTGTTTGTCACTGGGGCCACTTCTCTTGCCTCAGATATCTTTAATTTGTTACCAGTTGAACAGAGAGACATTTGCCCTCTAAATTCCTTGGACAGTTTATTTATAATTTGTGTTATAGGTCCATCCACATTTATTATGTGACCCTCTGGAGGGCCCTGAAGCAGATGTTGGGTCCCACTGGACTAAACAACACTAACATAGAAAGTCATTAAAACTAGTTTCACTATGACGGGTTACAGCAGTAACTGTCACATGGACCATGACGCTGTAAGTGCATTTTCCTGATAATGTTCTCAGGCAGAACGCAGGACTTTAACTCGTAATGGAGTATTTTTCTATTTCTGTATTGCTGTTTGTGCTTATTTATAAAATGTGAATGAGTACTTTTTACTCAAATACTGTTCATAAGTACAGTTTTGAGGTACTTATACTTTTCTTGAGTGCTACCGTTTTCTATGTACTTTTCAGATTCAGATGAATAACACAAATATCACCAACAAATAAAGCACAATGTGCCATAATAGATTAAAACATAAGGGTGAAATTCACAAACTGCCCAGGAGTTTATCAGGCAATTAAAATGATTTCCTCCTTTACCAGCTGCAACATTACAGTGAGTGAAAGTCTTATACAGTATGGTGGTTTGGGCCTTAGTTTTGATACTTTGAGCATACACTGCTCAAAAAATTTAAGGGAACACTGAAATCGTAAGTGTTCTTTGGCAATCGAGCTGCACGGTGCTGGGATGTGAGCACAGGTCCCGCTAGAGGACGTCAGGCCTTCATGCCACCCTCCTGGATTCTGTTTCTGACAGTTTGGACAGAAACATGCACGAGTCGTCCTCTGGAGGTCATTTTGTAGAGCTCTGGCAGTGCTGCTCCTTTTCCTCCTCGCACAAAGAAGCAGATATCTGTCCTGCTGATGAGTTGTTGCTCTTCTATGGCCCTGTCCAGCTCTCCTTGTGTAAAGACTCGTCTCCTGGCATCTCCTCCATGCTCTTGGGACTGTGCTAGCAGACAGAGCAAATCGTTTGCAATGGTATGTACCAGTGTGCCCATTCTGGAGGAGCTGTGCTTCCTGTCACAAGTCACAAGGGGACAAGCAAAATGCAAAACTAGACAAAAATCAGAATAAATGGTCTGTGGCCAACACCTGCAAAACCCTTTCCTTCTGGGGGCCGACTTGCTGTTGCCTCTCCTGTCCTGCTGATGCTGCTTTTATTTTCACCAAAGCAGGTAAAATTGATTCACAATCACTTACGTTTCCTAACCGGACAGATCAATACCCCAGAAGTTTACTTGAATTGGTGTTACACTGTGATGATTAAGTGTTCCCTTAACTTTTTTAAATGGTGCAATTTGATGCAAATGCTTCTTCCCTTTTACTTAGAACAGAGCAGGACTTTAAAAATAAGACTTACAGTAAGGTAATAATCCTTTATTAATCCCAAAGCTGGGAAGTTTGCAGTCTTACAGAGGCAAAACGGATAGTGCAAGGACATAAAACAACAACAACAAATAAATAAGTACTGTTTATATTGTACAGATCCTTCTATATGTAGAAAACTAGTTATTGCACAGATTCGTCTGAGTGTGGGAAAAGCAATATTGCACAAGGTGATTCTATAAGTAGGAGAATATAGAAATTGCACATATTCTTCTTTTTAGGTACATAACAGAATATTTCTGCACTGGGGTATTATGGCTTTTACCTATAGGATAAAAAAACAAAGTCTTTATTAATCTCACAGCGAGGAAATGTGCAGTGTTATAGCAGCAAAGGGTATACACATTTAACAAGAAAAGTTCTGTTGATATTGCACAGATTCTTCAATATGAAGAAAAACTAGATGTTGCACAGATTCCTCTGAATGTGTGTGTGTGTGGGGGGGGAGGGGGGGGCAATATCACACAGGGTTATTCTATATGTAGAAAATACAGATATTGCACAGATTATTTTATGTGTAGGTGCATAGCAACAATATTTCTGCTCTGTGGTATTGCTGATTTTATCTGTGAGATAAGTGTCAAGTGGAATGGAGATTTGAGATTCCAGGAACAGCCCAAAAGAGGACACTAGCACGGGTATAAGATAAGATAAGCCTTTAATAATAATCCCACGGTGGGAATATCTGCAGTGTTACAAAAGCAAATGGGACACTGCAAAAATATAGCGACATATTGTATAGAAATAAAAAACAACAACAACAAAAAACAAACACACAAGAAATATACATAACTGTTGATATTGCACAGATATTTATACGTGCAGAAAATCAGACATTACACAGACTTCTGTGAATGTGAAAAAAATAACAATATTGCACAATATTATTCCATATGAAGAAAGAACATTTATTCAAGTTGTCCAGTCAAGTCCAATGAAGCATCGGTGATGTGCTGAAAAAACTAGTCTGATCCACGGAGGCTCCACCTTGCAGCCTACAAAACTTACAGAATCTGCTGCTGTGTCTTGCTGCCTGATACCACAGGACACCTTCAGAGGTCTGTGGAGTTTAGGCCTCGAAGGGTCAGAGCTGTTTTGGTGACACAATATGGACCTAAACAGTATTAGGCATATTAGTGGTTTTAATGTTGTTGCTAATTAGTGTTGCATCAAGATATTGGTATTGCTTATACTATTTGGGTTTTTTTTTTCTACATATAGAAATTAAAGAACAGTGTGTATAGTATTATAAATGTCCAAATGATGCCCTGATGTTGTACCAGAATGAAAATACGAGAAGATTTGTGAGTATTTCACTGACAATCTAACAGAACAGTGAAAGAGCTAAAACAGGACAAGATTAGTTGTCACTGAAAAAAAAAAAAAGATTTGTTGTTGAAAAAAAATTGTCATTTAAAAAAAAAAATGTCATTGAAAAAAAATTGTCAGTGAAACAGTCTTCAAAATGGTTTCTTCATGTCTGCTTTCAAAGACAAATCCTTTTTTTTCAATGACATTTTTTTCCCCAATCACAACTACTATGTCCCTGGTTCAGCTCCATACACAGAGATGGGCAGACTGACTGGTGAATAAAACCCTCAGGTGTGGTCTCACCTGTAGATGGCATCCTGTTGCAGTGCACAGCTTAGCACGAGGGGAAACTGTCTTCCAGCCAATCACAGCTGCGCTTTACCCACTTTTATAAAAGTTCGCCTTTTTTTTTTTTTTTCTTTCTTCCGTCGTATGATTTTGAGTTGAGAGGAAGCGGCTCAGTGAGACACGGTATATCAGCAGAAGATGTGGTCGGACAAACCTCGTCTGCTTAAAGTCAGAGACGGTCGCGGAAGGAGCCAATTGTAAAGGAAGAACATGTATCTATGGCGCCTTTCCATCGCCATAACCCTCGGCTTGGTTTGGTATTTGTCAGACTGCGGACGCACAGTCACTCAGTACTTTTTGTGTTTCCTCTTCTGCCTCTCCACTCCGCTGTTGTTCGGGAACAGCGGGCGAGAAAGCGGCACTCAAACTGATGAAGAGACGAAGGAAAACCCCCTCCAGGTTTTGTGTTTTTAGTCCACTTCTTTACCGCTGCTTGGTGTCTGTTGTTTGCAGGAAGGAGCTGCTTTTACGAGCCCTGCGTAAAGATCCAACCTGAGTAATGATGGTTTAATGATTGAAACTGTGAAGCGTGGATCATGTGATGGAGCTTTAAACATAATCTCTGCAGTTTATAAGAGTCTACAAATCCGCCGGTTGTTGATGCACTAGTGATGGGTTTAAAATCCTTGTAAAAGTGCTTGTCAGTGATGTCATTTATCTCCTCCACACACTTGAGCTGTGATGTACTAAAACTAGTCCATGTGTAGTATTATCACTTGTTGTAGCCTGAGGTGTGTTTTGTTTCCTGCCCCCCCAAAGGCCTGAAAAACAGGTTTCAAGTGTGACCTGGAGTTCATGAATTGGTACTCAAATATGTCTTTAAATAGTTTTCTGTTTTCCAGGAAACCACTGACAAGCAGCTGTTTGTCGACTCGATTGATGGAGAAGCTCCCGGGCACGCCGAACCTCTGGAATCTCAGTATCCACACGTGAAGCGTTCCCTACACCAAGGTGAAGCATGTTTTTCACACAAGGGAATGTGTTTTTATGTGTCGTAAACATGTGGGTTGGAGGTGTTTTGCCCGAGGATTAAAGTAAATGTGAAAAGTCACGGTTCCGCTCCTGATTTCAGGGTGTTTTGTCAGCAAATTTTAGCTGTTTTGACTTGACACAGTTGGAAAAAAGCACAGTTTTGCATAGACACAGCTGCAGCTGGAGCTCATGTTACATGAAGCGAGGAGGAGCTTTACAGGCAGAAAAGATGAAAAACACACCCTCAATAGATGGATTGCATATGACGGCAGTGTGATAAACAGAGAACCAGATGGAGGTTTTCATACAGCACTTTTGCTTCTGTTTCCTTTGAATCGATTATGTGCAGCTATATTAAATAGCTTTGTGCTGATCTTGCAGCTCCTAATGAGCTCAGTTTAAATGAAATTTCACATTTTTATTCTGCTCCATCTCAACACACCATAAAATCAATGTAATCTGTGGAATGAAACAGGAAAATGAGCAATGATTTGGAGTCACAAGTGGGTTTTTTTTCTACCACAACATTAAAAGCACAGAGAAGTGACTGGATTATCTCGGCGCTGGGACATGCTAGGTCACAGGTCAACACTTAGTTCTCAAAGTTGATGCGTTGGAGGAAGGATAGGAAAAATGGACAGCAGAAAGATCTGAGTGAATTTGACAAGTGACAATTTGTGATGCCTGACAACTGGGTCTGAACATCTCTGGAAATGGCAGGTTTTGTGGGGTGTTCCCAGTATGCGGTGTAACTATTTAAACCAGTGCCCAAGGCTCACCAGTGCATGTGGAGAGTGATGGCGTGATCCCACAGAGAGCTGTATATATATGCGGTGGAGCATAAATTGCTGAAAAACATTGCTATGATTGAAAGGTGTCAGAACAAACAGTGCAACACAACTTGCTGCACACAGAACTGTGTAGCTGCAGACTGGTCAGAGAGCCCATACAGACCCCTGTCGTCTGCCAGGAGCGCCTTAAGTGAATGTCAGAAACAATGGAAAAAGGTTTCCTGGTCTGATGAATTACTTTTAATTTTACTTAATGTGGACGGCAGGGTGTGTGTGTGTGTGTAGTTTACTTTGGGAGGAGATGGCAGCAGGATGCACTGTGGGACAAAAGGCAAGCTGGCAGAGGCAGCGTGATGCTCTGGATAGTGTTCTGCTGGAAAACCTCGACTCTTGGCATTCATGTGGCTGCTGCTTTGGCAAGTACCGCCTGCCTACACATTGTTGCACGTCCACCTCTTCGTGGCAGCAGTATTTTCTGATGGCAGTGGCCTCTTTCAGCTGGAAAATGCTCCCTGTCACGCTGCAAACATTGTTCAGAAATGCAAAGAACTGAAGTTGTCCAGTCAAGTCCAATGAAGCATCTGTCATGTGCTGAAAAAACTAGTCTGATCCACAGAGGCTGCACCTTGCAGCCTACAAAATCTGCTGCTGTGTCTTGCTGCCTGATACCACGGGACACCTTCGGAGATCTGTGGAGTTTAGGCCTCGAAGGGCCAGAGCTGTTTTGGTGACACAATATGGACCTAAACAGTATTAGGCATATTAGTGGTTTTAATGTTGTCGCTAATCAGTGTATATACATACGCATGACTTGTCAAACCCTCCAGAGTCTTTGTTTTCTACCCTCGAAATTATTGTTGCGCCACATAAGTTTTAGAATTTATTCCAGCACAAATTAAGCTGTAAGTCTGACTTCTCATTTTGTCAGCTTAACAAAATAGAAAGCTGCCAGGAGCCTGAAATGACAAGGACATCTTTAAAAATGTGCAAATCTTTTGTTATAGGCACTCAAAATATTATTACAGAACAAAAAATATTGTTTCACTATTTATACACACAAATACAGCAGAAATGTAGGGAAAAAAAGTGCATCCGAGTCTATTTTCAATCGTTTTTGTGCCTTTTACATTAAAAGTGTACGCACGCCTGTGAATGACTGAAAATATGAATTATTCCGTTTCAAAAAATATCTCTTTGAAAACGTTAAATGTTATACCATGTAAAACTCCACATGAGCACTGTCATCATCTATTCTCAGTTTGTCTCCTGATGATATTGAAGTAAAGTTGCTTTTATGTAAATAAAACATTTCTCAGTGTATTCACAGATGAGTAAACTTCTCACCAGCAGCTCCTCGCTTTCAGAGGAAAACCCTGTCACGGATATTTGCGCTGAGTCTCGAAATGAATAATTCTCCAGGAGTTGGGAAACTCAGAAGTTGCTCAGAATTTTAAAAAAGGGAAGAGGGAGAGAGACAGAGCTTGAATTTCACCAAACAAGCTTTAAATTCACTGCAGTCCTCGGGTTTGATGTTCAGGAGGGTGAGCGCCGGAGCTCGGTGTGAATGTGATTTTCCTTTGTGACTGACTGATGTTGTGACGCTCTCCTCAGTGTTTGAATGCGCCTACGCTCAGCTGGTCCTGCCTTGGTACGCCGTCCCTGAGCCATGTGAGCAGCAGCCTCTGCACCAGGTGCTCAGCAGGGAATTCGACTTTGTAATCGACCGCATCATTGAGAGAGCCAAAGACTTTGATGTCTGCCAGGCTGTCGTGGGCTCCATTCGGATTCTGACCCAGCACTTGCATAATGCGAAGCAGTCTGACAGGTGACACATTCTTTCTTTTGTTACGAGTCAGAATTCACACGGATGCTGCTTCAGCTACTCAGTAATATGTCTGAATTCTGTAAACACCTCAATATTTCTCATCACCTGGGAATTATTTACCAAACTTTTACTGGGTCATGCAGCACTGATGGGTTCTTTTGTGACATGTAAGAAGTAGAACATCACATCCGATTTAAGATTAAGGGCTTATCAGACATGTGGAGATAAACATCTAGCACTTACTAATGACTGCACTTGGCTTTTCTTCCACTTTCTCCTTCAGAGAGCTCTTGTTCAGCTCCAGAGCAGAAGAGATCGCACTTCTCCGCGGGTTTTCTGACGCTCTGGTACGTAACCTTTTTCCCGACTCTCTCCGGGGCCAAGAAGTCAACCGCTGTGCCTTAAATGAGATCATTGCCTTAAAGGGTAAGAAAGCATTAAATTATCCTTGTGCAGTTTCTCAGTCTTGTATAAGGACGAAACCTCCCATGACTTCCTTTAAGAGTGTGGATTGTATGTAATCCCTTATTGTCAGTGGTATTGTAGAGCTTAGACATGAATTTTAAAGGAAGGAACCATCTGCAGTGATCTGCCAAGTCCCCTCAGGGCTTTGTCATATTTTTTTTAGTAACAGATAAAATGTTTTGTCTCATGAGAGTGTCGCTGCGGGGAGGATTCTGACAATTATGCATGTTGCTCAGTTGAAATAAGTGATTTTTACAGCTGTAGTTAAAAAATTATATGCACGTTCAGACTGCTCTGTAATTTGGTGCTTAGAAAGGGCTCATTTGTCACAACAGCGTTCACTGATGCAGAACTAAATATTTGCAATACAGGAGCTTCACTATTACAGCAAAAGGGTAAAGCTAATTTTCTCTAATATTATGATTTGCTCTTACTAATTACACTTTGCTTGCATGCTGTGAGTTACATGAGAACACGCCCGAAGCTGGATCCGACGAGACGTTTAACGAAACTGAACATAAAAACTGGACAGCATCTTTGAGGGTCGCTAATTAGCACGTTGTGTCTTTAGTAATATGTACCAAAAACTGAAGTGTGAAATGTCAAGTTGTGGTTTTTATGGGAGGAATATGTGCACACTGATCAGCACAAGTTTAAAACCGCAATTTGTAGAGCTCAATCATGCTGCTGACACAGCTCTGAACCATCGTACTAATAGGCTCCTGAGGGATTCCTGTGGTGTCTGGCACCAGGATATTACCAGTTTATCCTTTAGATCCTCTGGGTTGGGAGGTGGAGCCTCCATAGATCAGGTTTGTTCTTGTACATCCATCAGATGCTTAACTGGATTGAGATCTGGGGTTTCTGGTGGTTGGGTCAATACCTTAGGCTCTTGTTTGTGTTCCTCAAGCCATTCCTGAGCAGTTTTTTTTACAGTATGGTCTGATATATTGTCCTGCTGGGTTAGACCGCTGCCATTGTGGAGTGCTGTTGCCATGCTGCATTGTGTTTGGTCTGCAGCAATGTTTACGTGGGTGGTCCGTGTCAGAGCAACATCCACATGAATGCCAGGACTCAAGGTTTCTCAGCAGAACATTACATTGTGACAAGATGATCTGAGTTATTCACTTCACTTGATCAGTGTTTGTATTTTGTTCACTTTCTTGGCCTCTTGACACTCAGTGGAGATGTCAGGATTTTCCTTCTTCTGTCCAAGTAATAGTCTGGCACATGAATCCCTCATTAAGCAGCATCTTCTCCCTTTTAACACTTCTGTTTTGGATGTAACATGTTATTTAGTGAACTTCAGAGGTGTTTGTAGGCATATTACGGATGGAGCCAGATTCCCCTGTTTCAATTATCTGTTGCACGACACTGTTTAGCTCTTCATCATCTTAAGCAGGACCAATTTGCTATGAATGTTTTATTTTTTTTCCCAACCCACTCGGCTGTCTTTGCTCCAGTAGCACTCGTAAAATGTAATAGTTGCAAGGATGTTTTTGCTCAGAAAAATCAGGTTTACAGCGATCTCTGAAAACTCTTTCCATGCTCATTATTGGGAAAAAACACATTATGAAACATGTTTCATTCTTTTTTAGCTGCAGGTGTCACTGAGTGTTACCGTGGAAACACTATGGGGTCGAATAGTTAACTTTTTAGGTTTAAAACATTATTTGAGTGAAAATGTTTAAATTGCATTAGACTGATCTAAGATTTGGTACTAGTTTAACAATAAAGACGAGTTCAACATGTCTCTGAAAGCAGGCTTCATTCTTTATGCTAAGCTAATTAGCTTCATGTTGTAGATATGTATTTATTTTGATGAAGTATTGCTTTAAAACTTTAAACTGTGGAAGCTTTAATTACAGATTATGCAGCTTCTGTATAATGAGAATATGTTGCCTCAGCCATTCAGTGTGCCTCAATGTCAGGACAAACTAAGTTTGCAGGATAACTGTGTTGGCTGTTTGCTCAGGGCTGGGACTGCTGGTTGCATGGCTGTCTGACCCCGACAACCTGAACCAGCTGGTGGTGAGCCAGCTCGACAGCGTGACCCCCAAAAGCTCTGCAGAGGAGCTGTGTGGATCAGACCCAGATCAAGCCTCTCTGGCTTCACAGGAGGGCGAAGGCGACGGGGAAGGCAGTGAAGTGTGAGTGGCTGTCATCTTTTGCACCCCACTGACGTGACCTAGTGGTAGTGAGCCTCAAAGCAGTGACTGTAACAGCCACCTTCTGTGTTTGAAATTGGAACTGACCTGGTTTTGTTTGGTGGCTGTTAATTTTTTTATTTTTTTTATTTTGGATTTCTAGGAGCTTGCAGGGAGCAGGAGTTTCAACCGGCACCAGGATCAAGGGCAAAAGAAAAGGTGCGCTTAGCAATTACGTTGTTGCAACTTATTCAATTTAGAGCTCTGTGTCGCTCAAACATGCAGGAATGGTATACAAGACTTCTGGTTTTTAGCTGTTTTTCAGGAAGAAAATATTTCAAGTGAGGGCGACAGGGACTTGAGAAAGGCAGATGGAGGAGTTTGTGGGTGTTTAGAGATTAGACAACTGTGCTTGCATAACGTCTTGTACAACAGCTTGATGAATAACAATGTGTTGCGAGCTATGTGACACTATAATTTCCTTTACCAGCCTGCCCTTCAGTGCATAATTAGTCCCCTGTTTCTTTTGTTTGTTGGTCCAGACAGCTAATTACACAAACAGCAAGCTGAATGCCAAATCATTTCTGCGCTGTCTTCAAGCAACTCTGATCTTTGTATTGAAAACAATCCAACAGCGGTGAAGACTGGCTTGATTATGTCATTATAATGAACCCTGTGATATGATAAATATGCATATTGTCTGTACTGTCATAAAGTCGGAAAAACATCCTCATTTGTCACAGTCTGTACAAATTATTTAAGTCTGATTGGAACTTAATTAGTTATTAGTGTGTCACATAAATTATAATGTTCAAAGTGTGCATTATTCATTATTTTGGAATACTTTTTCCTCACATATTTTCACTGTGCACAGTAGTACTTCCTGACAATTTACATTCTGTGCAAGTGTTGCTGAATGTGTAGAGAGAATTTATTGTCATTCATTTCATGTGCAGTTCTCAGAATACAGAGGAATAGAATTGTGTTCCTTTTTATTACCAAGGTGAGCAAAATATAGTGAAGTCTTCCTTTTTAATATGCGATGTTTCCTAATGTTCAGGCAACAAGTTAAAGGAAGGATGGTCCAAGTTTGTGGACAAAATGAAGTCCAAGAAAGCCAAGAAAAAGAAGATGAAAAGGATAGAGCAGGAGCTAATGATGAGGATCATGTCCATCCAAACGGACACGTCCAACGAGGACGACACCAGCAGCAGGGAGGGCTCCGTTCACAGCCAGGAGGACTCTGACAGGGTAAGGCTGCTTCAGATAACACAATATACCAAAATGAAGACTACAATTTGCTAAACGTGACAGATTCATTGCTGCTTTTTTTTTTTTTTGGCCAAACCCCACCAGGAGGACAGTGATCTGGAGAACTACCTGGCCAGCGTCCAGGAGGATATGATGGAATTCAAGCTCTCCTATGAGATGTGGCGCGTCGGCCGCTGGGCTGTCAGCATCCCTCATGTGAGTTATAAATATCAGTAACAGTGTGGAATGTCCTGGAGGCTTGTTTTCTGTCTGCCGAGGCTCTGTAAAAGCTTGTCCTTGGAAGGTATGTTAATGTTTGAACTGGCTTGTTTGAAATGCGTTGTAGGCTGACTGGGAGGATGAGGAGCTGATCTTCACCGTTCACCTGGAGGAAAAGGACAGTCCCGAGAACCTACAGTGGGACATCAAGAAGACCCACATGGATGTTGTGTATTTCCGCAACAGATGGCAGGTAAAAGCAAAGCCTTGTTTGTGTTTCTATTTCTAGTTTTCTGCTTTTGGTTGACACCGTCTCCTCTGATTTACATTTGGCTGCCAGTTTATTAGCCTCATCAAAATAATGTAGTCTAGAACAATTCTCCTGCAATAAATCCTGTCAACATCAGAAATTTCCCACACTTCTTGTTTCACCTTTGTGATAATTTTGGAGGGCATAATTCAAGTGCCAATATATTGTATTGTCTGATAATAATTTTCTAATGCCTTGTCTACCCCATTTATATCACTAGAGGTAGACTACACAACCAAAAAACAGCTCTCATATACTAAATGCTGATAAAAATGACCATAAACTTGAATCAACATCTCTCTGAAACTGTTAAAACAAAAAACTGACCATTATAATCCTCACGCAGGGAGGATTTATTGCAGGACTGTTTCATTATATTGCTTTAGTTTTTAATTAATCTAATAAAGTGGAAACATAGTCTGAAGTCTGAATACTTTAATTAAAATAAATCTTTAATTCTCGTGTAATATTACGTTATTAATGACATGCAACATGGATTAGGGATATAAACCAACTCTTCTTGAGCACCGCTGTGTTGCCACATTAAATAAAAGCATGAATTAAGAAAGAACTTTATGCATTTAACAAAAAAAATAACTCATTGGAAGACCAACTTCTTGGTTTTGATTGATTTCTTGGAAGTGGAAAGCGACACCCTGCTTCATTAGACTCACTTGTCGCTGGCTTTGCATTGCCTGATTCTCATTGAACTGTGCTGGTGAGCAGAGGAAGACAGATTATCTTTATCAGTTAAACCAGTTATTGGCTTGATTTTCTGCGATTCCGGTCAATGATTGTCCGAAGTTCAAGGTGCAAAGCAGTAAAACCAAAGATGCACATGATGCAGGTATATTGAAGTTTTAACCTTTTAACAGTGTTTCAGCTTGTCTCTGTCTGGTGAGCAGTTCAGAAAAGTAGTTGGCAGATTGAGGGTAGAAATAAACGATGAGAGGGCAAGGTGGGTCCTTCAGATCAAATGGATATTAACTGGAGAAATTTCATTTTCAGGCCAATCTTAAACCATTACTTCTACTGAAACAGTTCTTGGCCACTTCAATCATTCCTCGTCCTGTCAGTCTCTCTGAGTTTCCTGTCTTGTATAATACATTTTTGTACTGACAAAGTCTTCTATTTGATTCAGATCATACCTTCATATGCTTTTCTTTCTTTTTTTTTTATTCAGATAGAAATGACTGTAGCTCAGTGTATATTTGGACATGTATTGTTTCACGACGCACATAAAAATAAGTTAAGATTTTCCTTAATGTCAACAGTATTCACTCAGAGTAACTGGAGGAAAACAGAGTTATGATTTCAAGTGTTGACAATGAATTGTAGAAATGGCTACTGATTTTTTTTATTTTTTTAACTTTTCATTTACTTATTAAAACATTAGAAGATAGTTTTTAAAATAAACACTCCAGCATCCTGGAGTCCAGTGTGATGTTCTAAGATATCTTATTTTTTTCTATCCGCAGTCCAAAACCCCCAAATCCTAAATCCGCAGTGATGTAACACTGAGAAATGCAATAAATTCTCACAATCGAGAGCCAAGAACCAAATGTTTTGCATTTCTTCTTAGTAAATGACTTGAATGCTTAATGGATTGTTGAGTTCAATGGTAGAACCACAGTAGAAAAGACTGACATCCCATCATCATTCTGTCAATGTTGTGAATCTCTGTTTCCTACAAGTAAACAGGCTACATCATGGTGTTTGTCATCTGGTTGCCTGGATTTTTGTCATTTTAGTTGTTTATTCCTTGGAATCTGTTCTTTCATTTATGCCAAAGAAAGAAATCTGAACCACAACTTTGTTTCGCAAGTCTGTAAAACGGCTCATAGTGGTAACCCGCAGCATTTCATTGCATTCATAGAAGATATGGTTTCAAAATGTTTGCCAGATGTGAAAATCAGTAGGGGTCTTGTGTCATAAAACATTTTTTCCCTCTTTGACAGGACTCCACCAGTCTGCCTGTGATCGCGTTGCTGGATGAGTCAGAGGTCAACGATGAGGTCAGAGAGGAAGCCAGAGTATCCGTGGAGCATTTCCTGCAGGTGAAAGACACCAGAAACACAGACACTTAGAATTGTTGATGAATAAACACTTGCAGCTTAATGACTCAAGTTTCTTATTCTCTTTTCCAGGAATTGGTTTCTGATAATCTGATCGGTCACACTCAGCCAGTTTTTCAGTTCCTCTGCCCGCTTGACAAACTGCTGAATGAAGAGGAACATCATGGAGGCGTGTGGAGCCTTCTCAGCGGCTTGGCTTACTTCCTCACTCCCGGCCAAGAGGAAGAAGAGGTAGCGTTCCACTGCTGCTTTTCTTCCAGCTGACATTTTAAAGAATGATTCTGGTTCATTGCCAACCGGGTTTTTACTTTTGTTAATGGTAAGATTTGTACTTACTGAGCTAATTCCTGAAATCTGGGGATGCAAGAAATTTGTGTAATTGGGCAAGAATTTTTCAAATTTTTCAAGATTTTCAAACTATGTGATGTTGCCAAAAAAAAACAACAACAAAAAAAAACCCGACCAGAAAAACACAATTGCTTTATCCTGTGCAGTGTATTATAGTTGAGGCATCTGTGACGCCTCGCAGAGCCCTGAGAAAAAGTCCAGCATGTCATAATTTGTCATGTGACTGCTTCCACAGTGTGTCGGTGGCCTTAACAAATAGCAGCACAAAGCTCTTTTCCACACCCAACATGAGGAAATGAAAGATGGCTAAAGGACATTGACCCACATGACCCTCGTGGCACAGCTGACTATCACGTAGACTTTTTTTTTTTTTTTGAAGAGCTAATTCAGCCTTTTGCTAAGCCTGTATCATTCACATCATTGTTTACGTTCCCAGTAACCACTCTCTGGCTTCTTCTTCCTGTTGACATCAGGCTGTGATTGGACAGCATCGAGCACGCTGTCTGTCATGTGTCTCAGCCAAGTCACTGCAAAAACTTGCGCCTGTATAATTGCCTGATGTGACACAGTGAGACACACATCTAAACCTGTCATTAGAGAAGCTTATTTGTGAGACTACACAGTCACATGATTTTTTTACTCCAAACTGTTCTTTGTAAACATCCCTCAGTTTACAGAACATACTCATGCAGATTTCCTGTTCAGGAAAGGAATATTATGACTGACTTCAAACTTCACTGATTACCTGAGCGCTATCTCAGTGTTTGCTTATCTTTCTTTCAGGGCATTTCTTGTTTTCATATTTGGATATTGTAACGCTCTCAAATAGTTCCTGCTCACACGTAGATTTGCTTTGCTATTTCTCAAACCAGCACATCTGCACTCAGATAAATTGCTGCCAGCACAGATTTCCTCCTTCCCAGTTAGCTCCTCCTCCTTAAACTCCAGTTGCTGTTTGTTTGTTTGAAAACTTCAGTTGTTGGATATCTGCTCCTGCTTAACTCTAGGGGGCTTTTAAGCTTTTCCACAAAATATAGTGCATGCATATATGAACGCTCCAAAAGGAAGATACATACATTACATTCCTGAAATGCACTGAAATGAAAGATGCGCTAAATAAAGAAACCAAATCGCAAGCTGGCAGGAAAAATGTTGTTGGTCAACACCGTATCTGGCAGATCTGACAACCTGCTTGAGGGAGTTTGATAGAGTTGTTATGCAGAAGTTCTTAACCTGACGTGAATTATAAGCCACATAGGAATCCAACGAGGGCTCACAGCATTCGCACCAATGTAGTACATTCTTGAACAACTCCGTTATCGGGTTGCCACTGGGTACACAAAAGTTCAGCAGCAGGAGCAGAGATTTAAGAGCAGAAGTTTCTAAGCAAAACGGATGCAACTTGAGTACGTGGAGGAGGAGGTCAAGTGTGCAGGCAGCAATATGTCTGGGAGCAGATGTGCAGTTTTGAGCAAGAGCAGAGCAAGAGCAGAGCAAGAGCAGAGCAAGTCTTCGCGTGAGCAGCGACTACTGGAGTTGAGTAACTGAGATGGCTTAGGCTCTTTTAAATTCCACCCTTTTCCTGTCTGTATGAGTTTTTTTTTTTTTAATTTAAAATTCCAGTTCTGAGTGGCTACATCACACCAGAAGGTCAAATGTAATATGTTGGGAAGCTTTAACCTGAGCCCACCTCTGTCAGAATGTTGAAGCCAGTCAAGTATAAAGCAGGACAGTGTGCTGTTTATTTTTGGTGAAATTTCTTTCACATTTTTACAAAAAAAAACGGGGTTAAAACTTAGCTAGTGACCTCCGCCTACATTCTGTTGAACTTCCCCTCCTTTTCATTCAGCATCAGACTCATATTCCGCTATATAAGGTTTCACGTTTCCAGCTCCAGCCATGACTCGCATAAAGATGCGGCATAAGAAAATTTGCATCATTCATTTAATTGTATCCTGGGGGGGCTACACTTCCAGCTATTTGGAGTAGGTGGTCATGCAAAATGCAGATCTAACTGATCTAATTATCTAAATGGCTTCTAAAGCAGCCTGCTGGAGGACTGAGGGGGGAGTCTGGGCTGAAAGGAAATGTGGATTTAAAGCAATCTAAATAACTGTGGGTGAATAAAATGTAGAAGAAGTGTTTTAAAATAGACTGAAACCGAGCTAAAAATGTGAAAATGCCACATCTTTATTCAGATGGAAATTCTGGCATCACCACAGCTAATGAGGTGGAAACATGGACGGTTAGAGCTGACATATTGAATAAAGATGGAAGCTGTAAAGGTTGAGATCTCCTGACTTCATGCCTCCGAGTCAAGATACAAACTCAATCCACACTTTCCACGATGCAGCTTGATAGCATCTTTCACTCGAGCCTCTCTGCATGATGAATGCAGTGAAGTCTCGAGCTGACACTGAGATAACGCTGATAACATCACTGTAGAATAATCAGGGTTATTTTCTCAGACTCCCTCCAGAGAGGATGGACTATTGTCACATGCACTTCTTTTAACAACTAAACTACACTTCATGTATCAATTAGCTGGATTGCTCCTTTAAAGTGTGCTACTGCGCTGATACAAGTGTTTGTTAGTTTCTGGTGTCGCCGCTCTGTGCCACGAAGGCCGTTGCCTCAGGGTCAGTTGTCACCACCTGATTGTTTTGTTTTTCTTTGCAGAGCTCCAGTCCTCAGACAGAAGCCCCAAAACAAAACATTATGCCATCTCTACATGCAAAAACAGCTCAGTCTTTTGAAAGCCATACAGCCCCTTCTCAGAATGACAGCCATGTTCCCGGTGTCCCAACTATTGTTATCTCCCCGTGTGACGCCCCGTCAGAACTGCCCGAGGAGGCAGAAATGGAAACAGATTCACAGCTGGCTGTTAGTTCCTCGAACGAAGACTGTTCCCAAGACAAGACAGAGGACTCCGATAATCCCGTAACCTCTCACTTTAAAATGATCATCAGAGGACTGACCCGGTCCAGGTCACAAGAGTCTCTGGTCTCAACAAAAGTGGGCACTGATGAAGACCCGCCTGAGTCGGACTGCAACCAGAACGGAGGCTGTCAGCAGGACAGCGTAGACGGCCTGTCGTGGCGTCATTTCAGTTCAAAGCCAAATAAAAAGGAGAAAATGTGTTTCAAGATGTCTGGAGTGAACAAGGCTAAAAGAAAGGAGGGCACGCTGCCGAGAGGGGAGGACTCCCAGTGTCAGAGGAGCCAAGTCAACTGGGAGCAGATGGAGGCCACCAAAGCCATATTTGATCTGCTGAAAGAAATATCTGGTTTGTTCAGTGTTTACAGTCAGATGGTAATGTCATGTGTACTTCACGCTCAACATTTTTCAAAGCATCCATCCATCCATTATCTATACACCGCTTAATCCTCACTAGGGTTGTGGGGGGGGGCTGGAGCCTACATTGATTAATGCATCTTCCCTTCAGTCTAGACAACCAGCAATTTTAACACTGATACCTGTGGGGACTTGAAACTTTCCTGTGAAAGCAAATCCCTTTGCGGTGAAGGTTTAATCTTTATTGATCGTCACGTGGTGTTTTAAAGTGAAAGCGTGGTTTGTTTTTACAAGGTGTGGGCGATGCATTCATGTGCTTAGATACTGGAAGACTGACAGCTGGCGGCCAAACAGTGTGGCATTCACAAAGCTTATTCCACTGAAAGGTTTGTCAGTGAGGATTCAAAATCATGTAGGTTGAAGGATATGTAAAATTCTTTATTACAGAAACTTCGTCTGGAACATAAATCAAATAATCTTTGAAGTTCAGTACCATCTAACAATAGCACAGCCTTGAAGTTCACTGAGATGAATGATCAACCTCGGGCAAACTTCAAACCCCGAAAATTCATTTTAACACTGAACTGAAAAAAAAATTTAAATGAGCTCAAAGGCAGGAAAATGTTGAAACAGCTGTGGTATGCTTTGTACAGCAGTGTGTGGTAATGGTGACCTTGTATTCATCACAACTTTTGATACTGACAGTGTCCTTTGAAAATGTCAAAATTTCAGAGAGTTGAGTCAAGTCAAACTTACTTATGCAGCCTAAATTACAAATGATAAATTACAGACTGTACAACATAAGGCACATGTTTTCCTTAATTTGGATAAAGGAAAAAAGATTTGCATGGATTTGGAAAGGTTTGATTTGGAGCAAGAAAAAAACGTAACACTTTACCCTGCAGCTGCATTCTGTTATTGCCTCCTTGAACTTGAGTTTTGGTTCGAGATAACACACATTAGCACCTCAGATGCTTTCATTAGCAGCCATTCAGCATGCTATCCAGACAGACCACAAATCAGGCTTAAGATGCACCAAACGAATACATTTTTTGACACGGTATTGGTAAACATACGAGTTGGCCTCTATTCACAATGACAAGACAAGCAGAGATGCACTGCTAACTGCAAATTCGAAGACGTGGACGTTACATTCTGACCATTTGCAGGTGCACATTTGCGACTTGCACAAAGAGAAAACTGCTGATGAGACTCTGCAGCTATGACCCAGAAATCAAGATGTGTTATTGGCTGCATCAACACAATTGTCGCTCTCTACCCGCCCTTCTGGCTCCCTGCGACTTCTTCCTCTTTCCTAAAATACAGTTGAAGTCGAAAGGTTGCTGCTTTGTCTCAGTGGTTTCACAGATTCAGCATGCGATGGTGCTTGACGCATTTCGAGAGTGGTACTTGCAGGGGGAGTTCCAAATGTGGCAGAAGTGCTGGGAGCGATGTATCGCTGCACCAGAACACTGCTTCACATAGGATGACATCTCATAGTGGAGCATCTAAAGACCTGATTTAAGACAATTTTATTAGGTTGGTTTTGCTTTGTCAATCTATAGGTAGAGAGTCGTTTGTTTAAGAAGCTTTTTGTAAAGTATCCCATCAAAATTAGATTGTTTGGATGTTTTTACATCCTCTAGTGACAACATTTCAGTAATGAGGATTTTAGAATTATTTGTGAAAAGTTAATTAGACTCACTGGATGTAGGATGCACATATAAGCCTTTCATTGGCCGCTCACGTCAGCCAGCTTTCTCCTCTTCTTCTGCTAGCTGCGTGTTACCGTTTTCAAATCCTCTTCACTTCAGGAAACGACAACAAGAACCTCCAGCGTAGCAACCTACCACACTGAAAATGTAAAGTTTTGCAGAGGATTTGGATTATGCAGTTAAGCAACCCTGCTAGTTTTTATGCTGGATTATCCATTTTGATCTCAGTGCTCTCTGCATGCTAATGTTCCACAACAAAAATTCCACGTGCCACTGTTTAGAGGGAACACCGAGGTTGCATCTTTACTGAGGTGCAGCCAGACCATTATGTACTTACAGGTCTGGTTAAGCGAGACTAGTCACAAGCAAAACCCCGGTGTGGTCATGTTGAGATGCTCTTGAAGCTAATTCTCTTCTTGTCTTTTCAGGAAACTCCATCCTCATAAACATATTTGATGCCATTTTGAAACCTGTGATGCCCATCTTGAAAAAGTAAATTTAGTGCCAACGTTCTCCCACAGTTCAGGCATTTGTTGTATCCTGGTCTATGAATGAACTGATTTTTTGTTTTGTATTCCTCTCCAGGAAAGTGAACTCTTTCCTCAACAAGATGAACCCATCAGAAGTGCAGATGGCTGCGTACATCGACACTCTACGTAACAAACAGTGGCCAGACATTTCAGCTCCTCCTCGTCCTCCTCATCCAGCTCGCAGTGAAGAGGAAAAAGAGGAGACCAGGGACCGAGCGCATAACCTCATCAATGCCAGATGTAGGCAACACCTTTCTGCACTTCAGTGGGATACATCCAGGTATTTCTGGCAGCTGATAATCCCTCTGAAGTTAATTTTCTGTGCTCTCTGTAGACTCACATTACCTCGTCCTGAAGAAGACGGACATGGAGACTGTTTTTAATCTTTTCCAGAACAGTGAGGAAAACAAAACGCTAGTCTACGTGAGTATATCAACGTTCACCTTTGTCACCATCCATTTTTAATTGCATCTAACTTTTCTGCTTTAATCACATAGCGTACAAATCTTGCCGCCCATGTTTCACAACAGATGCTCCTGTCATTCCTTTTGAGAGAGTTTCTTCCCAACGAGCATTCATTGAATGAGAGTGCTGCTGCTCTACAGAGACTGACCAACTCCGCCAACTGATCTGTGAATTCCTGACTCTGTTTTTAATGGTACTATTGTGATGTTTTTAGAATATCTAATTATTTATTAACCGTCTTAAAATGCCTTTAAACATGTGTGACCACTTCTGTATCAATGCCAAACACCATTTTCTGTTGTTTTTACATGAAGCATATCAAATATACTGTGAATATTTCCATTGGTTTTTATTTTTGTATCTTTAAACTGCTTTTGTACATTCACATATCAATGTGATGAATTATGACCTACTTGTGTGAAATTCAGAAACATTCTCTGTGGGAGCCAACTTTGAATATTGTACCTCAAGAGGAGAAAGTTAACTGTATTTCGTATTTACAGTTTAAATTTCAGCCTTCATGTTTTTAGTACAAAAGAGTTAGAATTTTTCACTCCTGTCACTTTGAGCACTTTTGTGTGGTGAGTGTTTGTATGCTGGTAATTTGGCCTACTGTTTAAAAAAAGACAGAATATTTCACAATTCTTGATCACGTAAATCTGTCAAAACATGGGCAGTACAAATGTCATGGGAAACTTGAAATAATGTTAATTTAAATAATTTGAATTTGTTCCAAATAAAATATTTTAATAAACGATTTTTTTTCTGTGATATTTATGGTTTCATGTATACAAGTTAAATTTAGACAGAAAGATGGTTTGCAGTAAATGTGAGATATGAACTGGTTGCTCATGCCAGCAGCATATTTGCTTTGAAGCAATAACCGAGCAGAAGATGATTCAGATGGGTTGAACAACCTAATCCTCCATGGGAAATCCTGTTAGTGATGTGTGAGATGTATGAAAATGATTACTGTAATAAAAGTACTGGATAAAAATAGCTTGGTGACATTCAGTCACATCCATATTTTTTTTTTCTAATCAGTTGTAATCAAATATATTCATACTGGAATACAAATATTCCTCAGAATTTAACTAAATATCAGCAACAAAAGAAATGGTTTGGTTTCTGAACAGTGATGCTGATTCAGATTTAAAATTAAAAAAAGCTTTGTTGCTCTACTGGGGGGGAAAAAAAGAAGAAGAAAAAAGAAAGTGCCAGCAGCTCTGCTGTTTCCTTAATGGAAACGCTGGCTGTAATATTCATGCTATTTCATTATGGAAGTGTAACAGAATTAATTACAGGATTATTCTGGTCCAGGTCACAGGAGGGAGATAATCTGGCAGTGTAACAATATGAATTCATTTTTTATTCACTAAAGTTCCTCGAGCCAGGTAACAACAACGCACTGAGCCAAGCAGCAATTTCCAGAGGGAAAGTGGTAGATCCTATTTGATTTTATTAGCAGCCTGAGGTGATGGCTTGTTAATAAGAATTCAAAATGACAAACTCATAATGAAAAAGCAAGTGAGTGTTTGGTCTATCCTTCAAAGTCCTCTACTGCACCAACCCATGGCTCAGTCTGTATTAAATCACTGTGGTTGAAGGTCGTTCTTAGATGGAGTCAGTCCAGCTGCTATTGAACTGGAGGCACCAGATTTAACAGGCTAATGAAGATCATATAATGGGATAAAAACCTCCAGGAAAGCTACTAAATGGACCTCTTAGCTAAACATACTGACAATAAATGTTAAAGACAGAAAGCAATTTATATTATGACAGGTTAGACTGAGGGAATGTACTGCTGTATCTGTTAGCTGTCTGATTTTACCCGTATGTCAAAAAGAAACAATGGCTCACAAGTACAAATTTAAAATATGTCGCATCACTGTAATAGAGGCCACAAGAATAAAACAAAAAACAAGTAAAATAGCATAGAAATCAGCCCAGCAGTAAATTTACTTTGAATGCTGTAGTAGCAACACCTCAGCTGCTAGTAGCCTGTAAGCTAATGTGATTAGCATTAAACCCTTGGCAGAAAAACTAAAATAACATATCAAAAAATAAAAATAGAAATTCACAAAACAGCTATAATATTTACAAAATATAGCTTCCACAGCAGCATTTAGGAGAAAATAGGATGCGTTTGTCATAATTTCGTGGCTTGGCAGATGGGACAAAATGGCGGCTGTAACATGTCAGTTAGCTGTGATGGAGCTCCATCAGTGTCAGAGACAGACTCTTCAACTGGAACCACACACAGGACATTTGTTTCCTCAGACAGCATCTGGTTTGTTTTAAAGTCTAGTGAAGCCCACTCAGGTTTCAAAATACCATCTGGAGATTATGAAAAATATGATTAAAACACACAAGATTAGCATATTTCCATTTGATTAAGTGCCAGGTTGGAATAAGTTAATCAGTCAGACTTTATTTGTGTGGTGCTTTTCATACGGATGGAATGTAATAAAAAGCTCTTTATATTTAAAACAAATAAATAAAAATAAATAAAATAATGCCAGTGCAGAGATTTTAGTCAGTGAGTTGTGAAGCAGCTGTAGTTGACATATATTGTTCTCAGCGAGGCAGCATTACCATAGTCCGTCCAGCATAAATTTACATATAATTTTAGCTGCATAAGTCATACAAATAAGACTAATTCAGAGGCACACAGTTTGAGAAGCACCAATCCAGCCTGCGCGCACTGTGATTTACAATTGGAGCACAAGCTATGAAAATGGTGCAAGTATCAGGTTAAAATCCAAAAGATTAGAAAAGAGTTTGGCAGGGTTAAA